TAACCTTACCTATACTAGCCTAATCTAGCTAACCTAACCTAACATAACCTTACCTTATCTAAACTAACTTAAGCTAACCTAACCTAAATTAACGTAACGTAACCTAACCTTTCCTTGAACCCCACAACACACGTAAGCATGCACAAGATCTTCAAATGTAAAAACTGCGTGTCCTTTGAAAAGTCACATATGTTCCACATTTTATCATATTTATGGACCAGGCTGGAAGGTCGTAATAGAGAAAATTTCGTCTTTTAGCTGCCTGCATTTTATGAGCTGCTCGAAACGAACATAAGCCACAATATTCATTTACAGATCTTGTAACTGTAAACATTACAATTACTATTATAACCATCATCTTTTTGTAGCAAAACTTACGATGAATCGATTCTGCCCACGTTATGTTTGTAGGTTATAACCCCGAATCTTTCGCGCAGTCGCCATGTTTACACACGTCATACTGTCAATCTTCAATACAGCGCGTTTTGCAACAAATGCCTTTGTTCATACAACATTCGCCCTCAAACTGAAAGCCAAATGAATATCTCCGCATGTTTTGCGTAATTTGTAAAGATCTGTTGCCCATACAATACTAAAATAAGACAAGACCACTGATTCATAGTTTCAAACTCACGTTGTATAAGTAAGATAACTTACGAAACATTTTATTAATACTTCAGAATCTTTAAAGAACGCATCCATGTGTATTTCGGTACGGATTACACGTTTTAAGTTCTGTTATTAAGCGAACACTGGAACCATTAATAACTGTTACATCTCGATGCAAGTTTAAATACACAAAATTATTCTTTCACGAGCGATTTATTTCTGAGAAATTCTAAAACCTGGGTCCTACCTAGTGCGTCTTCCTGATTCACAACTCGTCTTACGTCGCGGTCATACGTAACACACCTAGTCAGATATTGTATTCTAATAATATCGTCGGACGCTGTGCCAAATTATCCAGCCTTGAGACAATTCTCCTTATGACAGGTACAATTAACATCACAACCATCCAAAAATACATCAAAGGAACAATTTCAGTATTGAAGCACGTAACAAATGCCTTGTGATTCCATTCTGAAGAATATCTCAAAAATAAATGGCCCTGAGTGAGCTTACTTAAAACAATTACAGGCCTATCTTCGCTGAATTTTCTCCCTTAGCACACGCAAAGCGTTTCAGAGGTCCCCGCTGCCTCCATCATCATGACGACTATTAAAACCCAGAAGACAGCCATCTTCCTACTCTGAATCTATACCAATGAGTCGAATTTCTATAATAAATTGAATATCTAAACAATAAAGTATTAGAAAGACAATATCGTATGTTTAGTAATTAAAAAATCGTCCCATCCCCGAAACGTGGTAGATTTTATAGATTTCATTTAGTATTGTACGATGGGTAATATCCAGAAAACTGTCTACTTCAACATGCTACACGTCTACACAGAAATGGGCCCGGGTTCGAGGCTTCGTTCAGATGACAGCAATCAAACGTTGTATTAAACATTTTCAAAGGCATTTATTTTAGCAAATAAAAAGTTATTCGTATCTGCTGGTGACATAGTTGGGCCCTGGGGGGAAAATATCACAGTGACATGATTTTCTCGGGGACTTCCACAGCTCTGTCCCATCCCAGAAGTGATTCGAAATAATTACCTTACGAACTTGGAATCTGATTTGTCTGCGTCGTTCCTCAGACGTCAAAATAATCCTATATGTTCCTGGACCGTCGTTAAATAATTCACTCAAGGGGCCACCGGCATTTGTGCACTTACCGGAAGCGGGTTCGGGCTGGGTCGGGCCAAAACGGTCCTCGGGACGGATTAAATTCTAAAATTTCAGCCCGTGCAGACGTTTGGCGCATGCGCAAACCGTTCGGACTAAATTTAAAATTCTCTCTACGTAATGAATATCTGTGTTAGCAGAATGTCTGTACACGCCTAAAAATAATTGTAATTTACAAGATCGACTGCTCTCTCCCTCTCTCGCTTCAGATTGAAATAATTCAGGAAACCAAGCGTCACAAGTTCTTCCAAAAACTCCTACTTGTTTAACGGAAGAATTCATACGACGTCAAATGTTCTGGCTAACCTTTGAACCAGGGGTCGACTGCCTGTGGCAGAACGAATGTGGTCTCGCAACTTATGCTTACATTATCCATGCCTGGCTGCAAACAATCGAAATAACTTAAGAAACAAACATTTTTATGTGGGCCTATAACGTTAAAATCGAAATTTGGCTCAAATGTGCGTTCAACAAAATACAAATTCCGCATTAGACTAACAGCTGCTCAACTTACGCGTCTCGGCCTGTGGGCTACAGCAGTTCAACAGCGAGGATTATTTAGCGACTGTGCCGGCAGGACTACTAAACGCGGCAACCGACGCAGTAATCGCGCGTAGAAGAAACGCCGTGCAGCCGGCACAGTCACCAAATATCCTTACCGTAAAACGATGTATTGTTCAAGAGACAGTGTGACTGGGGAAAAAAACGTGTTTTAATTAAGAAATAATTACACTATTTAAATCGCATCTAAGATCCGCTTTAATATTATCGTTCCATCTACGACTAAGTCTCCAAAACTGCCTCTTCCCTTCTGGTTTTCCGATCAAAATTTCAATGTGTCTGATCTCTCTAATAATATCTGGTAAGGAATATAAATTACGAAGCTTTCCTTTACGTAATTTTCTCTGTTCTCCTGATACATTCTCTCCCAGCACCGTGTTCCCTAACACTCATAAACTACGTTATTCCCACTCAAAACAAAGAGAAATGCGTGTCGTCTGTGCGTAAATAAAAGCCCACTGGTAACTATATATACCACCTGCTTCAAAAATTAGTAATTCTATATTTTGTATTTGGTGGTTTCATACTTTTCTCGCTGCAAACAGGAAATTATTTCCTTAAACAGCGTTAACCAGTTAATCTTCGTAACGGTGAAGTGATGTGTTTTCTTCGCGGTACGGACTGAATTCTTAAATATTATTTGAACGAGTCTCTGCTCTAAATGGTTAATTAATTATCAGAATAAATAACTATTATTTCCTTAAACGGCGTTAAACAGTTGATCTTTGTAATGGTGAGGCGTTGTGTTTTCTTCGCGGTACGGGCTCGATTCTTAAATATAATTTAAAGGAGCTTAGGCTTCAAAGGATTTTAAAGCGACTGAACACAGCCAGGAGGTTTATAACGTAATATCGTGGGGTGTGTATCAGCTGCTTCCCCGTTCTATCCGGCCGAGCCCTCTGAAAATAACCTGCATCGAGGCGTATGGGAATGTGAACTGCATGAGCTGTCCACGGCCGATAAGAATAACTTCAGAATCCTTACTGACACGATCAGGAAATGACACCACAGATTTAGTTCGCTTACTAAAGCGATGAGTTATTAATAAAATGCGGTTTACCCCTGAATGGAAGGCAGGATTCACGCAAATTCTGACAAAATGGGGTTAGGTCATAAGTGTTTCACTAACCGGACACTGCGTTAAGTGGCTCTTAACAGCAATGTTATAACATAACCTTTATACGCCATATTCCAGCTTCGAACGTAATGACGATTTGGGAAGGAGACGAGAAGATTATTTATCTTCTAGCGGCCGTCTTCAGATTAAAACACACGAAATTTCGTGTTATAAATTATGTAGACCATAAGACCAAAAAAATCATCTTTCTACCATAGACGTAAAGCCTATAGAAAGTTGTAATGGTGGGCGTGTATGTACGGTTATAACACGGGAAGGGATAAACCGATCTGCACCAAACTTAGCATTAGGTGGTTTCTATAGCTCGGGAAGACCGGCGCAAAGGCCAAAGTGTTTTAAAAAGAGTTCGCATCTCCGAAAAAACTGTCCTAAGACCGAGTACCGATTAAAATGGGTTTCGGGATAATATCTTCCTACAATATTCATGGAATCATTAGCTTTAGAGCAAATAAGGATTCAAAAGAAATGTAAGCATTTGTCGAATTTAGCTTTCCTGCCTAAAATATAAAATTATTTACGTGGTGACGCAGATAAGTTCACCGACGTTTCAGACGTACCTACTGCCTGCATCATCAGGAGCCAGTACCTCTGAAATGTCGGTATATTTGTATCGAACTATACAGCAGACAATTTAGGTCCATGCTGAAATCGCTTTATCAAGTACATGAGTTACAAGTACAAAAGAATAAGAATAACAAATGTTTCATACACGACTAACGAAAATTAGCTCGCCATTCAACAGCTATTACCTAAGGGGCAGCGAGTTACTATCAGAAAACCTTCAGACCACCATATGTTCACATTAGGCGTCTCCGCGGATAAGAATTTTGTCCGGGGGAGAGAGGGTTAGAACAACCCACTTGAGGGAGCTGATGTTGGGTGGGGAAAAGATCATTTGGAGCAGAAAATGTAATTTTTCCATCCAGTTTTCGAGCTATGACGTCTAAAAGCTGGTGTCACGTTTGTTATTCTGACCGTCTATTTTAAAAACAGAATCTGTTAATTTTTAAATGACAGTTGTTCATTTGTTTCAAATGTAACAGAGAAAGGTAGAAAAAATTTTACACAGCGCGGAGCCCCAGTCAAACGATCAAAAAAACACTGCAAAACGACATCAACACAAAAACGTCGTGACACAAATCTGAAAATAAAAGTTATCCATATTTCCTGCTCCAAATAATCTCCCCCAAAATCTTCCTTAAGTATGCATCAGAGCTCTGAATCACCCTGTATAATCTGAGCTAAACACGGCGGGATTTCAGAAAGCAAATGCAATAATGGAACATTTTCGTTGTGCGAGTGGCGACACTGGTAAGGGCTGGTCACACTGTATTTCAAGGTCACGCGATGATATGCTGCGAGAGTGGTTCAGTTGTGCCGGGTGTGTGGCGTAAAGACCGCAACTTTACAGGTTAGCACGTGCGAACTTGTCGCACAGAATCAAGACACGGGGGGGCCCAGAAATGGGGCGTCTGCGTAATTAAAATCTGTTGACATTTCTTGTGTTTCAGCAGCGTCAGATGACCAGCAAGTCCCAACTGAGTCCGAGTGTCGACCTTACATTGAGAAGGCCTTAAAGCAGCTCGGAACTTCAGATGCGACAGGTCAGTAAACCAATAGCTTCATACCTACGCGCAGAGGTCTGCATAGGGCTGGACCCCGTTCAAAAGACAGCAATCAAAATTTATTTGTAGAACATAAGGGCTTTCTCGGGGGCATCTGCCCCCCCCCCGAATACAAAATTGACACAATCGGGCTCCGCAACAGACTTGAATTTTCTCGGGGATTTTCGTAGCTGGCACCTCCCAAAAGTGACTGAGGAAAACACCTTTCAAACTTGGCGTCCTCTATGATTCTTCCGTTCCTCAAAAGCCAAAAATAGCATCAGATGTTCTTAGACCGTCGTTACGTAAGTTTCGTCAACGCGAATTTGCTCCAAGGAGATCGATGAATCGGTAAAAGCTGTTTAATATGCGAGTTTGCTCAAATGCAATTTCATTCCTGACGCTTTAAACTTTCAAAGGACTAATTTAATGTCTGCGGAGGTCCCGGGGTTATTTTTACTACGCGATTTTCTATAGGTCGGCGTCTTACATGAATCCAACTATCGCATAAGAGCAGAGATGACTGTACACATCAATCACATGAAAGAATCGCGGGGACCAACGAATTGCCGATTGTAAGTGTATAAAATATTTTGTTTTTAAATTCCCTTTATTTTACATACGTTATTTCAGAGCTTTAAATGTAATTCCATTATATTACTCGTCAATGTTTGGGCGCTGGGAACTCATATCATTGACTTCCCACTGATTTAAATTATAAAAAGAGTTTCAATTTACGCCGGCGTAAATCGAGGGTTACCTGTACTTAAATCTTAAATAAAAGACGCGAATATTTCAGAAGTGCTACTGCATGAAGAACAGAAAAGTATCTGTCAAGGGCTCATGGGTTCGAATCCCATTCAATGTGTGGGCGTCATGCCTAGATGCCTCACGTTGGCCAATCACGCGTCCGACAACTTTCAAAACTGATTAATAATTTCAAAAGTATTTTTAACTGGGACATGCCATAAATACCAAATCAGTAAAAGATGGAGGAAAGTATGCTCAAAATCACCACGAAATTCACCACATCCTCAAATATTATCACAAAGGAAAACTGGTGTGAACATTCCGAAGTAAATTTTGTGGTAAAAATAAGTCACCTCTGAAACGTCGGTAAATTTCTACCAGACTACACAGAGCAACAACAACCCAGAAGACACCCCATCTTCATATTTTACTTGACGAAACGTCTAACTGCAACGTGCATTTTAAAAGGAAACAAAACCACAGAAATCTTTAAGATATTATTAAAAACTAAATATATTTAAACCAGAGACGCCACTGCTTCATCATCTAGTTTAATAGAACCCGAGTGTCCCCTATGCGTGCTGCACAACCAGCTCATCGCATCGTACTTGACTAATTTACAGTTCGTATAACATGGACGCGAGGCCATCGACAGAAAAATTCTGCTGGTCAGAACTATTACGCAGTTATCAATTATACGCACTGACTAAGCACACCCTGTACATTCTTCGAAGAGCACAAAAATTACGTAATTAATAGTCGAATAAATACGTGACATCTTAAACTGACCGATGATTTCAAGGTCTTCAGGATGTAAATTCCCACGCCACTTCTTGTTACGTAGGTACAAGAAAAATGCACTAGGGGGCCCAAAACTTGCACTTACATCAAAATATAAATCAGTTATTCAGTTACATCGATGTTAATTAATTATTTAATTATATCGACAGTGCTCTGAGTTTACCCTGTGACGAGAGTGTAAACTTCGCAATGACTACGTAACTAACCAGATGGCTTACCGAACCCGAAGGTTCATCACCGAATTAACCAAAGCCCTCCACCGGACCCTGTCCTGGGCCAACAAAATCCAGTCTCCTTCAACTCCTATCTCCCATAGATCCCGCCTGAGATTATCCTCCCATCTACAT